CTTTTTGGCCACGGCGGTCTGTGGCTAAAAAGTGTATTAGATTTCACTATACTTTTTAGCCACGGCGGTCTGCGGCTAAAAAGTGTATTAGATTTCACTATACTTTTAGCAACGCCGGTCTGTGGCTAAAAAGTATACCAGATATCGTTATACCATGAGGACCCGCACGCCTATAAATCGAATTATCTTGAAGGTGTTGGTCACCACAGCATTATTAGTCGAGGTGGTAAGAGTGGTGACATGTATAATGAATTTATAGTGAAATAATTTATGCGTCCATGAAATTTAACCCCATACAGATATGATGTAGCAAATAAGTAACTGAACTAACATGCAAACCAGGTTGTCATCACCAATTTATAATAATATTAGCAAACAATGCCGCGCAAAGTTCAAATTGCGCCAAAATCTGGTCTGAAGAAAGAGTGCATTCTGCTTGACAATCGTGTGTGTGGATTCAGTATGGAGATCAAGATCGAACAAACTGGCAATATTTTGATGGGTGCTTATTAAAGATTGATGCGTAATCAGTTATGTATAATAGTAAAAAAGCTGTAGGTATCGCACCACTTAATCAGTTATTATTTGCTTTAGTATACAGTATGTTAGATACGCCGGGTACCACGGCTTTCAAGTAGGGCTATCACAACCGCGAGTTGATTGTAATATATTCATTATAATATACTCATTTCTATATTTTGTTACATGGCAGCACAAGACAAATAATATTTATTTACATATATATACAGTGGCTGGTATAATAAAAGAACCTTATAATGACATCTTTGTTAACATCGGGGTAAATTTGGCTAATGAAATTGAGAACGATTCTCTATGTACGAACTTTCCAGATGATGAAAATTACCACTCTAACTATTACTCTAATATAAATTTTAAGTTTTCTGAAATTAGTATGGATGATATTATTTGTCAATTACGTAATCTTAAAATTTCAAACTCTACCGGTATTGATAACATCCCTGCTATAGCTCTTAAATTGGTCCTTCATTAACATGGATTTATAATCTTTCAATCAAAACTGGGATATATGTTGATGAATGGAAAAAGGCGTGGGTAATGCCAATTTTTAAATCTGATGATATACAAAGATGTGAAAATTACCGACCGATATCTATATTGCCTATTGTCAGTAAAATACTAGAGAGATCGGTTTTCAACCAGATTTATAAGTTTTTGAATGATAATTCGCTGCTATCTAAACATCAATCTGGCTTTCGGCCTAAGCATTCAACTTTAACAACACTCATTCAAATGTGTGACACACTTTATGAGAACATGGATAATGGTCAGTTGAGTGGTGTTGTTTTCCTTGATATTAGAAAAGCTTTTGATTCTATTGACCATACAATCTTATTGCAAAAGATGAATGATCAATTTGGAATAAAAAATGTGGAACTAACTAATAGAGAGCAAGCATGCATTGTCAACGGTGCAATGTCATCACCTAAAACGATTGTGTGCGGAGTTCCGCAGGGATCAATTCTTGGTCCCTTGCTGTTTTTATTATATATTAATGATTCACCCGAATGCCTCGAAAAAACTTCGCCACACCTATACGCTGATGATACTCAAATTCCTACTTCTGCCAAAACTATTGAGGAACTTACTGAAAATCTAAATAATGACCTGAAAAAAGTCCGGTGAGTGGCTTGCTCGAAATAAACTGCAACACCACCCAACTAAGACCAAATTAATGTATATCGGTTCAAAGTATAATACTGATACTATGACTTATGATATTCCAGTAATGATGAATAACCAATTCATAACTCTTTGCTCATTCATACACATGCCTTGGGGTTAAACTTGATGAAAACCTTAATTGGCATGAGCATGTTGAAATGATTTGTAAGAAAGTTGGGGCCGGCATAGGAGCAATGCAACGAATTAAGCCATATGTCCCTATAAATACCCTGCATACCATTTACAGAGCTTTGATAGAACCGTATTTTGATTATTGTAGTCCATTATGGGACGTCTGTAACCAACAGCTGAAAGATAAGCTTCAAACGTTCCAAAACCGTGCAGCGAGAATTATAACCGGCGCCAGCTATGAAATAAGGTCTGCTGATGTTCTTCGATCCCTTGCTTGGGAAAATTTAGAGATAAGACAACGTACAACTAAATCCACATTAATGTATAAAGTCCTGAATGATTGGGCTGGGCCGAACTTGAAGGATGCTCTAATGAGAAGGGACCTTGTTCAAACCAGTTATAATCTTCGCAATACTTATACTGACCTTACCCTTGCTAAGCCAAAACGAGAATTTCTAAAAAAAGCTTTAAGTATAGCGGAGCTAAATTGTGGAATAGTCTTCCTTCTGATGCGAAGCTAGCGCAATCAATTTATTCTTTTAAAAACTGCCTGAAAGATTCACGCTAACATCTTCTAATATACTGTATATGCATGCTTTAGAAATATGGGTCACACCGTTTGGAACTTAATTCTTGTATTGTAAATAGTTGTATATAATTCTTTATTCTTTTCTATATCATATTTGTAATTTTTAATAGTAACAGACGTCCCTCGTGAAAATCAACAAACCGTTGACGAGGCTAACGTCTTTAAATAAAGTTTACATACATACATACATACATACATACATCATGAGGGTGAGCAAGGCTTCAGGAGGAATTACGAAGATTGTCAAAGCATATGAGCAGCAAGTCAACATTCATCCCAAATCTTGAACTCATTCACACAAGTTGTCAACTAATGACGAAAAGATTATCAGCATGGACTTGCAAGGTTTAAGACCTTTCGAGAAAGAAGGCCGAACCTTTGAATCTTTTGCAGAGGTTTCCCATGACCCAACCTCATCATTCGACCAAGGAAAGTTAGCAGAATGGACTGCACGACACAAGAAGAACATCCTGATGCACTATACTATTGCTGATGACCAAGAGGAATCTTGTGAATAACTGGACACTTAATGTACTATCGCTTTCTAACAGGACCAAATGTATGTACTTTTGTTTCTAAAGGGAAAATAATAGAGCAACAAAATGGCAGCAACTTGCAACAATATCTGATTTCTGCACATGTTTTAAACATTTCCAACTAACATGTGTTGAAATCAGATTTTGTTTTAAGTTGCAGCAATTTTGTTGCTCATATTAATCCACCTGATCTTAAAGTATATAGATATTTTGTTTTACATAGTACTGCCCTAGCCTGTGTTCCAGTCCACATGCACATACTGCTGTACATATAAGTCAATGTTTGGCTATTTGTCAATTTATATTACTGTACAAGAACTGATTCCAACAAAATGATAAATGTATTAATTGAGCAAAATATTGCTCATTTGAAATTTTCTGACTATAATAATATCGTAAGAATAGAATGTACTGTGTACATACAGTACTGTAATCATAGACATTTTCATAAAGTTTTCATGTTGCCACATTAAAGTTATTTTAACTCCTGATAAACTAAGTGTTCTTTGGCTATATTAAATAACACTGATCTTGTTTTCCACCAAATTCTAATAAGTCTAATATTATTTATAAAGAAACTAGTATTTTTATCAGAATAATGTCTAACAGTAAGGCCACATAAAAATTATTTGTTTAGCGTCCACCTATTTCAATTATCCAGGTTGGGGAGGGAGAGTTTTTTTTCAATTTACACACTCCTACAAACTCTACTCCAGGGTGTTTCAGAAACACAATCCTTGATATTTAGCACAACACCATAGTCGTAACTTTAATATTAATTAACAATGCATTTAAAACATATGGAACATATATGCCCTTACCTGCGAACAGGCATACTTTGGAAACAAGATTGAGTTTGCGATTGAAAATCACCACTAAACTTGGAGGGTTTTTGAAAAGTATTTAAAGTATAGGCTAAGGGGTCATCCATATTTAATATTTTCACAAGCAGAAAGTGCATAATATTTTCAACTTCTTTCCAGACATTGCTTCGCAGATAGTTATCTAGCCCAGCAAATGATCATGTAAAAATTATTAGCAAATTTTTCTATAGATATTGTGTACTGACAGAGTTATGTTATGCTCCAACAGAAATGGACCAGCATTGGAAAATAATCTGTGTGGACACAATTTAACTGTAATAGACCTTTTTAAAAAGTCTGCGGTGTGACATAGTTTGTGGATAAATATGATCATTTGGCCAATCAGGCAAGCCAGCCAAAATGGCTGTGAGTTTCCTGTGAGTGGGTTTTCCTTTATCTGCAAACTATGTTAAAAAGGTCTATCAAAGCATTGGCTCTTATCACCTTCCTTACAGCAAACAATATCTGTTCTCTTGTCAAAATATTGATAATTATGGATGTCAGCTAATTAAAATACATTAAACATTATTATGTCAATATATCCTTACCAATACATCAGACAAAGTATTACAAATTTTTTCAGTGTTATCGTTGAGTTCAATTAGTACCTACAGTTTTTCCATGAGAAGCTGTAAGCACATGGGACAATCACAGTCTTTCTCACAGACACCGCAACAAAGGTGTAATGGCTTAAAAACAATATCCTGTTTGTAATCTAATGACTTCAATAATAATTTCCTGAGACATGTATTGTTACTCACACAATAGGCCTGCATGTCATCCTGCATTCCAACCCTGTTCGTGGCTATATCTCTGTTGTTGTAATATAAAAATGCAGTTGAGGGCTTGCCATCTCTGCCAGCACATCCAGTCTCTTGGAAGTACACCTTCACTGAACTTGGCGGTCCAATATGTATAATTTGGCGGATGTCTCGAATGTCAACACCCATCCCTATAGCCACTGTTGCAAAATGCCCCCAACACGAACAATGCCTTCCTTAGAACACAGTTGTTTAAGTATCTCTTCCTTCATCTGACTGGTCTGTGGAGCATGGAACTGTGCAAACAACCTGTTGGATGGGATTGAAGCAGAACCAAGAGGAAAATACTGTTCATCACCAAGAATATGCTCGAATAGTTTATATGCAAATCCACATATTCTCAAAGAAATGTAAATAATAGTGGATAGTCAAACTTTTCCTGTAGGAGGGTCCAGGCAATTGGTACCAAAATTGATTGATCTTGTCCAGTTCTACATTGATTGACATCTTGTCCAGTTCATCAACATCTTGTCCAGTTCTAAAAATCTTTTGGTAGAAAATATTCTTTCTATCAGGATTGGCAACAATGTGCTTGCAATTTTTCAAGCCCAGCGAGTCCTGTATACATTTAATATCAGTTCCACTTGCAGTCGCTGTCATTGCCAGAACAGGCACATCTGGAAACACATATAACCCCCAATTTAGCATAATCTAAAATCAAGTCCCCTGCAATTAAATAAAAACACAGTTTAACCCTATTAAGCAGGCGCTTTATTCTATTGAAGGTGTTGATGATTTTTGAATAAATGGCAGTTCATAATTTCCTTTCGACCGTTTTTTCAGCCCCAATTTTTCTTTGCCCATTTTTTCTAACCCACCATTTATTCAAAACCACTCAAAACATTCAATAAATTTTAATAAAGCACCAGCACTCTCCCCTTGAGAACTAAAATCGTCTGGTGTTGGACAGAGTAAAATAATAAAGTAGGGATCATGTCCAAGTTCAACCATGTCCAAGTTGATTGGCTGGGCAAATTGAAACCATCAAATGGTCATCACAAACATTAAACTTTGTCAGTTTGTCATGAGAATAGACAATGTTTTTATCTGCAACTGTTCATCCTTAGTTGCAAGTGACGGTAATTGTATTAGTAAACTTTCCACAGAATATTAACATGACAAGTTCACCCTGCCAAGGCCAGAAATTTGATTTGCCATATACTGTATTAGTATATTAATATATTTTAAAATAAAATTGCTGATACTTACCAGTCCACTATACAATGCACTTCATCTATAACGATTCCAACAACATTTTCCTGGTACTGCTGGCTAAGCAACAACTCCCATCCATATTTGCTCGAGATGAGAGTTTCAGGATACGCAAAAACAATGTGGTAACGACCACCACATAGCTTTCTCGTTTCGCACAAGCAAAAATCAATGTCAGCATTAAAACAATTGTCATCGTCCATATTCTCGTCAGAACTATCCTTATCTTCTCTTTTCAATTCCTTCACATCGAAAATTGATGCTTGGATGCCGCTCGACTCTCTTAAGCGAGATATTTGGTCACTCATCAATGAATTTAACGGTGATATCAAAATTATGATGGAGTTAACCCCTGCCGTAGAAATATCTTTCGAACTTCTCCAAGCTGGCAATATCAGAGAATAGGTGAGCTGTTTTCCTTTATACAACAAAATTTCCTCTCTTGAACTCCTCAAATACCGTAGGATGAATATTCTCCCAAGGCGACCATGTCTCTTATATGAACAGGTATTCATTTTTTTTTCTGTGTTAATGTTATGTACTCAGGTGAATATGATGTTTGTGATGTTACTCTGAGTGTATATCCACACCGGACAAGCTTGAAAAATATGCCTGCCACAGTGGGAATCGAACCTACAACCTTTGTAATACTAGCCCAATGCTCTGCCAACTGAGGTACGTGGTCAGGTCAGTTCGAGTATGTGATATAACAGAACTGAGTGTAGTTCCTTCAATATCAATGCAATCTAGTCATATGATTTTTTCTGTGTTGTTAATGTTATGTACTCAGGTGAATATGAGGTTTGTGATGTTACTCTGAGTGTATATCCACACCAGGCAAGCTTGAAAAATATCCCTGCCACGGTGGGAATCGAACCTATGACCTTTGGAATACTAGCCCAATGCTCTGCCAACTGAGCTACATGGTCAGGTCAGTTAGAGTATGTGATATATCAGAACTGAGTCTAAATGGATGTGATGGAGGGCAAGAACCATGGGGTGAAATTGGTAAGAGCATCTATGTAGAGCAGAAAATTTCCTTCTCTCAAAGCTCTGACAAATATCAGGACAGCTAATTCAATCTGTAGGACAAGGAACCAAAATTTGAACTGGGGATGAACTGAAGACTTGTTGGAACACCAGTTGTCCAAAGACAGTTGGTTAAGATCCTCTCCTGGAGCTCGAGCTCGGTGAGTGTGTGTAACCATAGACAATCGAAGGAATGGACTGGAAATGCCATATATTTAGCGTGTTACTTCCATGATATGGTCAGCTGTACATTTTGCAGACTCATGTACACAAATTAGCTATTCAAGATGGCGGAATCAACAAGCGCGATGGCTGTTGCAGAGGAAAGCGATAGTGAAAATGAAAATTCAGCACGTTAACAGAGGTATGTTATTTTCTATTGTTAAACTTGCTATTGTTTTGGCGAAAAATTGTCAAAATTTGTCTTGACTAGTTTCCCTGCGAAAACTCTTTGTATATATTTGATCATTATTTTGAGAAAAAGTATAATACTGTATACCACACTTATTATAATACTCATACTGAATAGTTTTTTCTAAAATTGTTGTAGTGTAGTTCATACCTTTGGTTATAAAATTTTGAATGATTAAAGGCAAGTATACAACTATTCATTCCTTTTTCTTGCATGGAACCCCCAACTAGTGATAAAACATCCACCAGATTGTATGAAAATGCTGAGAAACTGTTGTTAGATACTCTTGACAAAATGATATCAGACCCTTTCCACAAAATTGAAGGATCTTCACACCATAAAAAAATTATTTCTTATGCCGATTGCTTGCTAAAGAACAAAAGCAAGTGTAATGAGAAAAAGTATCGCAGCATACTGGGGGAAGCTATGGAAAGCAGCAACAGCTGGGGATGCCAGAAAGTTGCCAACCACTCAATGTGATAGAATGTGGAGGGCATTTCATGCTGTGTGTTTCAGTCATGATTTTGTTGTGGATTGCGAGCTTTTTCTTTATCCAGCTCTTTTACAGAATGCCACCTGCAGGCTTTTCAATCAATCTTCTGTGACCAGATTGTTTGAAAATATTATTTTGTTCAAAACCACAGTTGTCCCAACTACTGTCGCTGGTAGTCAATCTGAAGAGATAGAGATGACGGTTGTGGAGGAGAACACTCTAAGATATGCTGTGGGTTTTGTTCCTTTCTCTCTGAAAAAACAGTGTTCAAAGAGAAAGACCGGGACTGATGACGGACTAAAGACCAGGACGTTCGGGGAAAAAATTAAATGTTTAAGTGCACTAGGTGTGGATGACGAATTGGAAAAATCCCAAACATTCTTGGAGTATACCAGAAGTTGGATAGAGAAACAAAATGGGTGGGGGGAGGGGTTGTTTCAATTGAACGATGCTGGGTACCTGTTCTTTAGAGCAGTGGAATGTCACTGTAGGAAGTTCCTCCAGCAAACATGTGTGCCTAACAATGGTTCTTCAGACATCCGGGACAGGGCACCCTTCATCTGTATTCCCTTCAAGTCCTACAAATGTGTGTCAAGTTGTGGGTGAACATCAGAGGGCATGCGTTCGCAGCCAACTGGGTTGAAAAATTTAAACAATCGCAATGTGCTGGAAAAAATAAAACACTAAAGGAGCTGTCATAAATTCCACTGGGGAAGGGGCCGGAAGGGAAAGTGCAGATTTAAAAAAAAATTTCATAACCCTGCATCAGTTTGCAGTATGGTTTAGTGCCCCACCAAAAATTTTATTTTGGTTTCATATCCCACCCTGTATGATCTATTAAAATTTGCATTATGCACCATCGCAGAGGAAAAGAGCTGCCAATTTATACTGTCCCAATTGGATTTGTCATTTTCCTGTGAAAGTGTGTATTTAATACAGTCACATGCAAGTGATTGAAAGGATTGTCAGCAATGAAGAAGTGTATTTTTACCATATTCCAACTATTTCTATTCTTGACTTTCAATCAATCCCTCGAGAATTAGAAGAAAATGGCATGGCAGCAAGGTTGGTGCCAAGTTCAAAAGAAGTTAATGAGATTCTTTTGTTAAAAGTGGACCAACATCGCCCACGTCATTGCAAGTTAAGAATTGTTTATAGAAAGTCTATCAAATTTTAATTTACTGAACATAATTTGAGGAAATTTAATGAAAACTATATACTGAGCTTCTCCAGGACCAGACAGCCTCAAGCCTTTCAATATTAACCTTCCATATGCCCCTCAATCATTTCCGTGAAAGATTTCTGTCTTTTATAAATCACTTTATCACCTAATTTACCTGTGTAGTACATTTGTTTTGTTTTTGTCGGCCATTTTGAAAATATATGCGGTATTCTTCATTAATATATTGCAGGCGCTAATCATGAAGTTCGGCCGAAGGCCGAGCAAGTTGGTATTAGCACCTGCGATACATTAATGAAGAATACTGCATATATTTTCAAAATGCCAGACAAAAACAAAACCTTGCAAATGTACTAGCAAAGTAATTAAGGTAATAAAGTTATTAAAAGACAGGCAAAACGAACTCTTGCATGCTCCCTTGAATAGAAGTGATAAGAATATTGACATGGAAATTGAAAGTTTCACTGGACGGTTGTGGTGGCACTACCACTTTCTGGACTACCACTTTCCACAAAACACATTTGATTATATGTGCATATAAATATATTTGATAGTTCAATGATCTTGTAGCAATGGGAAAATTTCTGAACTCTTATAATTCATCGATGGTCATTGAAGCTTTCCTTGGCAACGGAAATGACTTGAAACAGCTAAACAGAAAAGATTGAAGGATGTTGAACTACAGTCTACAGGATGTTGTAGCCAATGTCAATGTGACAATGAAAGGTCATGTTCGTTTATTTCTGGAGTTGCAGCTACAAAAAGCGCTATGAAAAACCCTCCAGCACTAACAGAAAAGGACGGCAATCGTGCTGTTATTAAGATAATCACCAAGCTCTACTGCTCCAGATTGTAAGTTTTACATTTCAGTCTATGCCTACATGATTAAGGTTGTGTCAGAGAAGCATGACAAAGTGGAAGCTACTGCAATACTGTTGACTCCTTTTGAAAAAACTTGAAAAAAATTTCATAGCCCATCATTATTTCTGAAAAAGTTTCATTCCCCATTAAATTTTCAGGAATAGTTTCATGGCCTAGCAATTTCCCTTCTGGGCCCCCTCCCTGGTTGAATTTATGACAGCTCCCTAAGGAAGGATCTGAAAGCTAGATCTGACTAACAGTGTTAAGGCATGAACGAAACACGCAACATCTTTTGATAACATATAAAATCATTTGCATAAGACAGTACTGACAATGGCTGAACACAGTGTGACATTTGCACGAGAAACATACCTTTGTGCTACTCTACTCTTTCAATGTATTGTTAAAATCGTGGCTCCAAAGTTTGCACTGTGTGTTGCGTCTTTGTGTAGTGAACAAAGTTGCTCTGTTCTTGCCAGAATAGTCATTGACATTGTTTTGTGAAAAGCCCAACCAAGTCTGTTTCGTGTTTTAGTTTATTTTTCAACCGATATGGAGACTAAAACCAATTTTTGCTTTCGACACAGGTGAAAACGCATTGATGATATTAAATTAAGGAGTATGATTGAAAACATTCTTTAGCCGGACACGTCACTTTAAAGTTAGGTTCATGGCTATGGTTATTTCGAACATGGGTTAAATAATGAGTGAATGTTCTAAAAGAAAAGGTGTGAACACTCAGATTTTTTGCACATGTACTTCTCTGTTTCAGCCATGTGTTTTTCAAGAGCCCATCGACTTGATCACATGTTGTCAGTTCTGTTTAATATAGTCCTTTTGTTTGAGTTTTTATGCATCCCAAGTCCCGATCAACTTTGCAATTTATGCGGAAAAGTCCATGCTGTAAACCTTTGATCTTTTACCCTTTTGGTGACCAAAATTGCATAAAAGTGGGAATGTTTGATTACATGAATTGGCTGAATTAATTTTGAATTCACACAAGGCATACAAACTTCATTTGCTGGATTTTATTTCAGAATAGTAAAACCTTTTTCGTGAAATTTGGGTAAATGAAAAATATTGTGGTAAAAAGAGATTTGGTACATAAAACAGAATTATCCCATGTAAGTGAATTCATTGGACAGGATCAATTGGCTTATAAGAAAGGGCATAACTCTACTATGGCCCTTATCAAATGTCATCATACCTGGTTAAAGTGGTTGGGACAATGATGCTAATTATGTAAGAATGTTCTTCTTTTGACCTTAGCAAATGTTCCACATGACATCTTATGTATGAAACTGAAATGCTTAGGTATAAATCCATACATTATCAATTAACTTTCTGACAAATAGACAACAAGAGTTGTAGTCGATGGCATCATCACAAACTACCTCGACATTAATTGCATACAAATGTTCCACATGGCACCTTATGTACGAAACTGAAACGCATAGTTATAAATCCATACATTATCATTTAACTTTCTCACAAATAGACAACAAAGAGTTGTAGTCGATGGCATCGTCACAAACTACCTCAACATTAATTGTGGCGTTCCGCAGGGAACAGTTTTAAGGTCAATTCTTTTTTCGATTATGGTAAATGATATCAAACCGATTGACTATATTATTCGCAAACTATATAATTGTAGAATGCAGTATTTTCATGTAAACTCAGACGGGTGTTCTGAGGTTTTCTTCATAAAGACAGGGTCCTAGAAAACTATTCCAGTATCGGAATAGTACTGTTCAAGGTTCACATCTTCGGTTCAGTTAATGTTATTTAAATGAAAATACCGCCATTCGATTCAGTATAAAATTCTCTACTAATTCCTAACGATAGTTTTAGTCTATGTCAACTTTATAGTGATTTATGAGCTTTGAAAGTCAAGCGAGATCGTATATCAAATTACACAATTGTCTGAACAAAAATATAGACTAGCCATACCTTTCGCCAAACATAACTTCGGCCCCTTCGGACGTGTTATCTTTGTAATAGTCTTGTTAAAATCGATGTCAACAGCCGTATTTCGGGAGTCATTTGCGAGTCTGTATCTTCTAATTTGACAAAAGTACGCAGCATTTCCATTTCTGGCCCGATTGTGCGTTTAATCTGAATTTTAAAACGTCAAAACAATGCGAGGATTGTATCGTATGACTCTGCATATGTCAGAAATGGATGCTACAGGTCAAATTGCACCTATACGTGTGTGTTTGACGTCATCCTGGCTAAAGGAGCTCTTATTGGCCAAGTATTATGCAATACACGCACATGCGAGTAAAACCCGATATCTTGAAAAATATTTCTAGTCGCCGTATCCAAATGAAACTTTCTACACGAAAGCGCTTGAATATAAAGAGTATTCTACTCATATAGCCAATGTGAAGCAACGAAAAGTTTAGAAGATATTCTACTTTTTCTTGATATGGAATGCAGAATGTTTGGCCAAGTGGTGAGTAAATATATGATTGTTTCGGTTTGTGTAATGTTTTGATGTCATTCGAGCCACCCTTCGAAAGGTTATTTTGTGAGGATTCCAATGACGGTGAATGGACCACACCGGGAGGATATGCCAAGCTTTACCAAGATGAAAGCCTCTATCCGCTGGTATTCTGATATCGACTCGATCACCATTAGTGGTAAAGACAAAAAGGAATTCAAGGAGAAAGCTGATGAAATTAGCCGCAATTTTAGCGTTTTTTTCTTGATATGGAATGCAAAATGTTTGGCCAAGTGGTGAGTAAATATATGATTGTTTCGGTTTGTGTAATGTTTTGACGGCATTCGACCCCCCGTTAGAAAGGTTATTTTGTGAGGATTCCAATGGTCGTGTTAGTTTCAAAGGGGGGTAAATACTCGCAGAAATATTTACATTCAAATATTGACTTGTATTATGTAATACAATACCGTCTGTCGATAAAGAGTTAAAGGAAAGCTCAAATGGACAGCCGATTTTGAGGCTTTACAAAGATTTGTCACAGAAGTTTTGGTTTTATCAGACGGTGAATGGACCACACCGGCAGGATATGCAAAGTTTTACCAAGATGAAAGCATCTCTATCTGCTGGTATTCTGATACCGACTCGATCACCATTAGTGGTAAAGACGAAAAGGAATTCAAGGAGAAGCTGATGAAATTAGCCTCAATTTTAGCGGGTTTTTAGCTAATGGTGAGGGCAAGCTCATGGATGTTGTTGACAAAAACAGGTCAGTCAGCCATAATGATCAATAAATAATACCACCCAAATAATGACCTAGACGATTCCCAGTTACAAACTAAACTACAAGCCTTATCCGATCAATTTGTATCAAGCATGACATACATAAATAGGATGTTATCAGATCACTCTAACCAGCTTAAGAACTCAGAATTGCTGACAAGGAAAGTGAATTTTCTGTACTTATAAAGGAAAATAACGATTTAAAAGACACGAACAATGATTTGAAAAATGAGAACAAATCTTTATATGAAAGGTTAAACAATCTGAGTTATATATCAGCTGACCTACAAGGAAAGGCCAAATCTACAAAAGAGAAGAATAGCTTAATTACAGCCATTAGGTTACTAAATAATAAATCGAATATTAACTTGCCAAGTAACACGGGTGCGGAGGTAATCAATCATGGTATTACTGAACCAGGCTCTGTAAATGCCCTACCAACTGACAATGTAAATATCAGGAACCAAGATACACTGAAGCGAAAATACAAGTAAAAAAAATCGAATAAGAAATCTAAGATGTCTGAGAAGCAAAGAAAAGATAAACAACCAGTGTATAACCTCTCAACCGATAAACAAGGTGAGTAATGTAAATAAAAATACAACTAGTTCACCTAAAAGCAGCCAATCGCCAAGCAAAAAAAGTTATGGTAGTTGCTGGAGATTCTATATTGAAGCATGTAGAAGGATGGCATCTCTCGAACAGGAGTAACCATGTGGTAGTCAAGAGTTTCTCAGGAGCTACAACTTCTAATATGGAAGACTATTTAAGACCAGTGCTCCGAAAGGAGCCGAACAAAATATTCTTACATATAGGCACAAACGATATAAACTATCAAACTGCCCAAACGGTAGCAGAGGGAGTATTAAATCTAGGCATACAAATTACTCAAGACTCGCCTAGAACAGACATAGTAATCTCTGGGATACTTCCAAGAACCAATAAACCAAATTTGATGTCCAAAGTGAATCAGGGAAACAGATTAATAAAAGCATTTTGTATTGAAAAGACTGGGCATTCATTCCTAGATCATTCTTTCAACTCAACTTGTCTGAACTCTCGAGGACTACATTTAAATTGAAAAGGAACTAGCATATTAGCCAGAAATATATCTAAGTATATTTGTACTGATTAGCATATTGCCATTTGTGAGTCTGCTTCCATTTCACCTACGCATCCTGCAGCCTTTGATAAATCGCCTTACTCAAAATTATTCAAGTGGGGCCGTGTGATGGCATCACTGAACATTAATAGTCTAACTGCTCACATTGATGAAGTGAGACTTTTTACACATGATACAAATATTGATATATTAGCCATTAATGAAACCAAACTGGATGCCTCTGCACACACCAATGAAGTAAATTTACCAGGATACGAGATCACTCGAAATGATCGCTATTTTAATCAACTCGAAATGATCGCTATTTCAATTTCAGTGGTGGGGTATGTATTTATGTACGTAGTAATTTAAATTTTAAAGTTCGCAATGATTTCATGAATGACAAGCTAGAGTGTCTAATTATTGAGATATCCAAGCCCTCGATCTAGGCCATTTTTGGTAGGAACTTGGAATAGACCACCCAATTCTCCTACAGAATTATTAAATCTATTTGAAAACACAATCGATCGAGTCGATGCTGAAAACTCTGAATTATACTTTCTTGGAGAACTAAATTGTAATTTAACTGCACAAATCTCTGATTTGTTAAATATCCTAGACACTTATGGTTTGACACAATTAATCTCTGAACCAACTACAATAACACCAGGGGCTGGTTGTACGAAAGGTGTTTAACTTAAACGGTGTTTAGCCGCTAACCAGCGTATAAATTTCTTATCCAGCGGATAGTTAAACGGCTGATAAAATTGCGTTGTATGAAGCCTGTTTAGTACCGCGTTTAACTATCCGTAGGATAACCTTTAATTGAACTGGAGAAAACCGGATTTTCTTGAAATTTCTTGCCTCTACATCAGCTGTTGCTGGGCCTTTGTAAACTTTTGAAGCTTTATCTATCTAAAATTCCACTAAGCTTTTGCAATAAAGTTTGTTGTTGTTTTTATTTGGAGCTTACTCGTCCATTCATTGCTGCAAATCTATATCAATCTTTTCATTTTCACATTGTGCTGAGTTTCTCATTCACTTAAATTCACTTACGGATATTTCTTTAAAGATTTTTTGCTTCTTTATGCGAAGAGTCAAAGGCAATAGCAAAAACTGTGAGTTGTGTTTGGCTTTTATCAGTTGATTCAGTTTTATACTGTTTGAAATTTGTTCCTCGACCTTGCACTTTTGTTCAAAACAATTTTAAGAACATTTTGTCCCAAGTTTTGATTGGCTGATCAAAGCGATTAACGCGAGCGAACAAAATTTTTTCGACTTTCAGTGTCTTGTTGTCTATTTTATATACTTGCTGGCTTTCCAAAGGGCTAAGTCATTGTTTGTTTTCAATAGCTAAAATTGGGAGTCTTCCTGCTTGTTTTCAAACTATGTAATAGAGGAAAAGGAGAAAAAGCAATACTTGACAGGTATACTTGACGGTTAAACACTGACACTGGTGTGCGTATTGAAATGTAGCAAAGCCACGGTGGCACAGAATTTAATACAAGTGAGCAAGTGACTCCTCAGTGTACCTCGCCTCAGTGGACCAAGCCAGTTAATCATGTTTATTGGATTTACAAAGATAGCTCCTCTACATGATTGTGCATTTTTATAACTATCCCATTCTTTTTTATCTTCAAACTCCGAGTTTATCCGCCGTATAGCGATTTAAACAGTCTCAAGAGACTGTATAAGTTTACACGGTGGATAGGCAAAATTTAATCGGTGGATAGCTTCGTACAACACGATTTCTCAAGCGTTTAAATTTTATCTGGCAGATAGCGAGTTAAACGGTGGATAGCGACTTAAACACCTTTTGTACAACTGGCCCCAGTTTCAGAAACCTTAATTGACCTATGCATTACTAATTACCCAGAGAAAATGACATGTGGAGAGTTTGGGTTGACATGTTGATGAACGTAGTGATTAAAAATGCCGCAATAAGGGAGAGTAGAATTGGTAAAAAAATATCCCTTGGATCACTCCTAATATACTACAACAAATGTGTTCAAGAGATTATTTTAAAAAGAAGTTTGAAACCACTAAACACATTTCTACTTGGAATTTATATAAGAAAGCTGGGAATGAAGTGAAGAACAAAATGAAACAATCGAAACGTGACTATTTCAGTAGCAATCTTGACTTAGCAAAAAATTACCTGAAGAAAACCTGGAATCTTATAAATCAACTTAGTTCTCGTAATGTCAGCAAATGCTCTACTGTTAATAGAGTTGACCTTAACGGTGCAGAAGTAACCGATACACATGAAATAGCGGAGGCATTTAACACACATTTTACCATGATAGGTGAAAACCTGGCTAAAAAACTGTATCTCTGGTGTTGCCACAATCAATTAACACCTCATCCAGATAAAATCAATTAACACCTCATCACGAGTCGAAGAAAATTTATTGGTCCTCTTCAGTGCTTAAAGTTAGGTGAAAGTCAGATAAAACGTGTTGAGTCAACAAGATGCTTAGGTCTAGAAATAGATTGTCATTTGAAATGGAACATCCATGTTTCATCTTTAATTATATCGTTTGGCAAAAAACTAAATCTCCTTAAATCATTATATTTCTTACTGATTAATGCAAAACTGGACTTTTACCTTCTATAACTGACGGAATCTTGATATGGGGATCTTACGGGAAAACTTTGTTTGATGAATTGGAAAAGATACATGTTTGCGCAGCAAAGATAATCTTTGGTTTCGATTGGAACACCCCTGGGAAAGACGTCATGAACAATGCTAAATGGTTCACCCTCAATGATATGCACAAACAACAACTTGTATACCTGGCATACAAATGCTATCATGAATTATCTCCTCCAACTTTGCAGTCAATCTTTTCGAAAAATGTTCACCGCTACCAACTTAGACATAAAATGACTTATAAACTTCCTAAACCGAACACAGACTTTCTTAAGAAATCAATCTTCTTTCAAGCTGTTAATCTATGGAACGGACTGAGCCTTGAACTAAAAATTAGTAGAATGTTTAAAGAATTTAAAAGTCTGTTAAAGCGCTTAAGTTGTAATAGATGTGTGTATAATAGTTTGGGTCATGCAAGTGTTAAATAATGTGATTGTTTGTTATGTGTTTTTATGTGAACAATTATGCTTTAGTGAACAGTTACTCTATAGTCATGTTTTTGTGGAATTTGTTACTTAGTTACACAACCACATCAGCTAAGCCGTAAAATTATAGTGTTAAAATAAATCTTTTATTATTACTATTACTATTAAAAGTATTACTATAACTGATGTCAACCAATATCTTATATTAACTCTACAAATAATGTGTTTTCCTTCAAGACAATTGAGGTAAACTATGGTTAAAGATTTGCTTGGAAGAATAAACACAAAAAAATCTTGTGGTTCTGACAACATTCCATGCAAATTACTAAAGTTAGCTAGGGATGTTGTATCCTCTTCCCTGATGCATATATTTAACGTATCACTTTGCACTAGCATATACCCAAAAGAATGGAAAATTGCCAATGTTACACCTATCCATAAAGATGATGCCAAACACAACTTCAACAATTATCATCCAATCTCAATTATTTCAGTCGTTGCAAAATTATTTGAAAGTATGATTCACGACCAATTTGATTACTATTTAACATGCAATAAATTAACTGACTAAATGTCAGTCTGGGATTCAAACAATGCACAGTACGGTCACTGCACTGCTCGAAACAACAAATAGGTGGTCAATAAATATCGATAATGGACTATTCAATGGTGTAGTTTTCATCGACTTAAAAAAAGCCTTCAATACTATTGATCACACAATTTTTCTGGACAAACTTGCTCAATACAGGGTTGATGAAAATGCATTAACATGGTTCCATTCTTATCTAACCGATCGTACACAAAGATGTTGTGTAGAAGGACATCTATCCAGTAATCGACAAATCACTTACAGTGTCCCCCACGGTTCAATAATAGGTTCCCCTTTTATACTTGGGCTATATATCAATGACTTGCCAAACTGTCTGAACAATGACTTATCGAGCATGTATGCGGATGACACAAATATTGGCTTCCAAAGCTCTAATCTTTCTGATCTTGAAGAAATTATGAACACAATGCGAACAGATTAAGCTTAAATATTACTAAAACTGAATTTGTGGTCATTGGCTCGAGACAGAGGCTGATGTACCATTATGTTAACAACCTTAATATATGTGTAGATAACACTCAAATTAAAAGAGTACATACAGTACCCAAAATCCTTAGATGTAACAATTAATGAAAATTTAACTTGGAAGAACCATCGATTTACTGATCATGCGCAAGATGGGAGCCCACATCAAACGAGACGCAAACCACCATAAGTCATGGCAAATTTTTACCTTCTGAGACATGGAAAAGAGGAATGATTGCTTTATGTGACTACCATGTGCCTGCATGTATAAAATGTCGCTTATAGGTACCTCCGATTACTCTAGAGTATCCGCAATCTCTCCATGGGGGGCTGGGAGAACTATTATCTTATACCATAATCTCACTATCAAGCCTCTAGGGGGTCAAAGTGGCAAAATTGAAGCATTTCAAAAAATTTTACATTGAAAAGTAGGATAAGGGGGGCCCCTCCATAGCTTCATGAAAATATGTTACATTCTTATGGGAGGGGGGGGGGGCAATAAATGTATTTTTGGAAAGAAAAAGGGGTCATGAAATATTAGTCACAAGTTGGAAAAGACCCCACTCCCCTAAAAATATGACTGGTGCCTATTAAAGTACTGCTTCACTCACTCGTTTACGAACTTAAGAGGGTGTCTCCCTAAAAACTGGCCACCGACTCATGTCTCCAAAAATAAATTACTCTGTTATTTTACTATAAAATGCATTTACCTAAAGAACAAACAAACACTGTTTGAAATTTTATTTTGAAATGTTATTAATTTTGAAAATTCCATTATTTATCAGGTCATACCGGCGTTGTTTTCTGGGCTACATCGCCGTCTTCG